GCCCCCAGTGTATAGAAGGATAGAAAATAATTAAAAATAAGAACAGACTCTGGTTCCAAATCAAGAGACGTCTCCCGATGTCTGTGTGAAATTCACAAGAGTTGGCAAATTAATGAGACTGTAGCCCGAGGTGAAGTCTGCACTTAGCCTCTGTAATTACTAAGAAACCGGAGATGCCTCAGTGGGTTGGATGAGCAAAGAAAATGATTTCCGGACATCAGAGGCATCATTTAGAATGCAAACGTGCTAATGTACTGGAGCTGCTGCCAGGGGACACTTGAAATCCGGGCTGCAGCTGGGACAGCCCAGGCATGCTTTAGGGACCGTGTTAGCCTCCTCCGTCATGGTGGGCAGAAAAGAGAGCTTCTGAGTTCTGATGGAAATGAAAGGGACTGGCACATCCTTCACCCTCAGTCTAGGTGGTCTCCGTGCCTGTGTTTTATATAAACTGCCTTACTTATATCAAAATGAGCTGGGTCATTTTACTTCGTGTAATATGTCCACCCGCCACTGTCCATCGCGATACAGGCCTGACCTCTATGATCGCTGTGGTTACTGTGCCACATGCAAATGATACAGTGTTGTGGTTTGAGACTGAAAAGTCCCCCATCCGCATGCATCTGGACACTTAACCCCAGGTAGCAGCACTAGTGGGGAAGTTATGGAACCCCAGGACACATGGAGGACACGTCACAGGCTCTGTGAAGACTTTAACTGCTTCTGGTTCCAGCCTGAATTCTCTGCTTCCTGTCTACTGCGATGTGCACAAGCAGCCGCCTCCAGCTCCCCCCCCACACCGCTCTGTCCTACCTGCCATGTTAGTCTAGCACCCTGTGAAGCCAGGATCCAACAAATCCTCTCTCAGGTAGGCTGCAGACCTTCCTCACAGTAATGAGTGAGAGTAAATCACAGATACAGACAAAGCCATCTTGTACTAATTGACAAAGATGGGAAGATGGGGCATGTGCGCTCTTTTGTTCCTTCATGATGGCTGTTATGAGTTACTGTTATGTGGATCATCTCCAGCACCATTCTCGGAGTCTTAGAATAGGTGACTGAGGTAGTTTTCTTCAGCCTTCTACTCCTATTACAGGATACTGAGGTTGCCACCTCCTTGCACGATGTTCTGAAAAACTTCCTCTTATAGGTAAAGTCATCAAAAAAGCGTCCAGCTTTTGAAAAGTTCAATTCCTAGAATAGAAGTGCCTGGGAGAAGCACATAGATTCTTTTAGAAGTCGAGGTTTTCAAACATGTTTCAGACAGAAATCTTCACCCACTTTACGTGTACAATACTGAGTTTTGATGATGTGACATCCAAGGCTGAGCCCTGTCACAACAGCACCCATGTCATCCAGCGGTCTGCTATGAAGACACAGCTGGGCCCTCTGAGCATCTGCGGCGGACCAACAGGTTCTATCTGTGGGTTTGTGAAGGCTTCTGTCTTGCTTTGTGTTTTGTTCATTGGCTTACTAATGGCATGCATATTCAAGGTTTATTGTCTGCTCTTGCATTTGGCAATGTGAGTCTTCACACATCCTTGCTTGTACATTAGAATAGGAGAAAATCATTTGTCACATTGTATAGATACTTTCTTTGTTATTCCCTCTTAAAAATTGCTAACAGTTCTCATTGGATGTATTTACATTTCTACAATATCTACATCACTTCTACCCTGGTAAAATGCCTTTCTAATGCTTGATTAGTCTAATACTTGTCATCTTCATGTATGAAACTTTGATTCATCTGGAATTTCTTTTGCTATATCCCAGGGAGTGAATTTTAACTTTATTTTCCCCCAAATAATGAATCGGTTATCCAGATCACATTTTATCAAAAGATAAATTTTTTTTCCTCACTAATTTCAGAACTTGTCTTAGTTACATCTCCTACTATTATCCACCGAGTTGTGACTTCACAGTTTTTATCCTATCCCACAAATTTTCTTATCTTTGTTCTTAAACAATATGTACTATTTCACTCTTTTTGTGTTAAAGCTTCATAAAATATCAGCTGCAGCAAGCACAGGTTCTCATTACTACAATCTATCTATCAGAATGTCTTCCCAGACCCTAACTATGTTAGACAAACTAAACCCCATACCTGAAGTTAATAAGTGAGAAATTTTACTGGACTGCTGCTTAGAGATTAATCCAAGAATAATAGACATCCTGAGAGGAGTTTTCTTCCCAAGAGACCTGCTATGTTATCCCATGTTTAAGTTTCCCTTTGTGTAACTCAGTAGACGTCTTCAGTTTCTTTAAGTGGGTTCTGCATGTCTTGGGGATATGTATAGTCATCTTCTTGTTGTCAGTGCACACATCATCTGCAGTTTTTGTTTTTCACCAGCTGGTGGCTACTATTTATATTATTTTTTAGTTTCTTACTCTTTGTCTTATCAAAAGTTTACATGGCTGAATAGATGGTTAAGTTGGAAAATACTTGCTACACAACCATGAGGATCCAAGTTCAGCTCCTGTGCACCCACATAAAAGACAGTCGCAATGAGGCAAGTCTGTAACTTTGCAGTGCTGGGAAGGCACAGATAGGTAGATTCTGAGGGTCTGCTGGCCAGCTAGTTGAGATGAATTGCTGAGCCCCAAGACCAGACGGAGACTCTGCTTCAAACATTTAGACCAGCAGTGACTGAGGAAGCCACCCAGTGTCTTGACAAAGACATCTGGCCTCCATGTGCATACACACATACACACACACACACACACACACACACACACACACATAAAATATAATTTACCCAAAACTGGTTATAATAATATTTAAATTTTCTTTCACTTGGGGTTCCAGGGGAAAGAGCATATCATTTATAAATACTAATAGTTTTATTTCCAATTTTCTGATTTTATACTTCATTTCTTTTCCCATATTTTATTTTCTGACATTTTAAACTTTAGAATTAATTTTATAAAATCCAATATTTTATGGTTACATTCTAATGTCATATTAATTTTCATATTTTATAAAAAATCAGAAACTGATGTTAATATTGTTTGGTCAGCATATCTTACAGTTTGGAAATAAATCCTATTGTTTGCTTTTTTACTTTTTTAAATATCTTATATGAAATATTTATATCAATAACCATTAGCATTGGTTTTCTATGCATGCTCTCTTCCAGGTCGTGCTGTTAAGGTTGAATTTAATAAATGATTTTGTGGGAATAAACATCTTTTACCTTTTCATATGCTTTAGAATGATTTAATGGCACAGATGAGTGAGTCTGTTGCTTAATAGATAGGCATGACTCATGACCTGACCCAAAGATGTTTATGGAGACAGCAGCCTTCTTCCTTCCTTCCTTCCTTCTTTCCTTCCTTCCTTCCTTTTGGTTTCTTTCTTTCTTTCTTTATTAGATTTTTTTTAAAAAAAAATACCAATCCAAATTCCCACTCCCTCCCCTCCTCCTATTCCCTCCACTCACCCTCCCACCCCACCCCCATCTAATCCTAAGAGATGGTAAGGCCCTCTTTGCTTTGTAGAAGGTCCAAGATCCTCTCTATTACATCTAGGCTGAGCAAGGTATACATTCAAAGAAAATAGGATCCAAAAAGTTAGTACATGCAGTTGAGATAAATTCCAGTGTCACTACCAGTGGTCCCTCAGTCTGTTCCAGCCATACAACTGTCAACCACATTCAGAGGGACTAGTTTGGTCCTATGCTTGTTACTTCCCAGTCCGACTGGAGTTGGTGAGCTCCCATTAGCTCAGGTAAACTGTTTCAGTGGATGAACCCGTCAAAGTCTTGACCTCTTTGCTCATATTCTCATTCCTTCCACTCTTCAACTGGACCTTGGGAGCTCAATCCAGGGCTCCGATGTGGGTCTCTGCCTCTGTTTCCATCTGTTGCTGAATGGAGGTTCTGTGGTGATATTTAAGATAGTCATCAATCTGACTACAGGGCAAGGCCAGTTCAGGCACCCTCTCCTCTATTGCTTAGGGTCTTAGCTGGGGTCATCCATGAGGATTCCTGAGAATTTTTCTAGAGCCAGGTTTCTTGCTAACACCATAATTGCTCGCTCAATCAAGATATCTCTTTCATTGCTCTCATCTCTGTTCTTCCTCCATTTCAACTATCCCATTCCCTCAAGTTCTCCCCAACGCTTCCCTTCTCCCCTTCCTTCTATCCCCTGCCCCATGCTCCCAATTTTGTCAGGCAATCTTGCCTGTTTCCAATTTCCAGGGGTTCTATATATGTTTTTCTTTGGGTTCACTGATGCTATTACTTAGTTTCTTGATGTAGGATCTCATTCTAAGTCAGGCTTACCTGGAACTTACTCTGTAACCTAGGCTTACCTCGAACTCACCCTGATCCTCCTGCCTCAGCCCCGAGACTGCTGGGATGACAGGCATAAGTTACCATGCTTGGCTAGCTATCAATTTTTTTAAAACCATACTCTTTCACTCAGTGTTGGGAATTTGTATTAAAATTTTTAAGTTCATTCAACAATTTAAAAAATCAGATGGTAAAAAGCAAATTCATCTGTTTTTTTTAAATTCAACAAAGTATAAAAAAGTAAATATGAGGGCTATCTAAATTCAACACATTTCCTGCATTTCTTGGATTTCATTAGCTCTTGGCAAACATTGCTTTCATTTACATAAAGTTTATTAATTCCAATATGGTGTTCAAAAGTGACTCATGCCTCTTTAGATGGGACAGGTGTTTCTACCCTTAATCTCTTATGAAAGAACTTGAATCTGAACGGTACACTAACAAACAGCATGAGACTTGTCTGAACCAGTCAGTTTCCTTGAGCACACTAGCTGTAACACACTGATGAATTTACAGGATCATAAAAATATTTAAGTTCTCCCCATGCTTTTCCCTGAAGCAGAGACCCGCCTTGTTCACAAAGGGTTCTTTCCAGCACAGATGAACGTTCTTCAGAAACTTGCGTTGATCGCAGACGAAGGCACCATTACCCCCGAGCACCTAAGCCCCAGCTGAGACTCTGATAACAGGATCTTTTTCTCCTTTGTCCAGGATGTCTGTGTCAGGGCTTATCTGGCTCTTCGCCATCACACCAACCTGCTGATCATCCTGTTCTCCATGATGCTGATGACAGGAATGCCCCAGTTAACAAGCAAAGAAGACATTGAGTATATCCGAGATGCCCTCACGGTGGGGAAGAACGAGGAGGATGCTAAGAAGTATTTCCTCGACCAGATTGAAGTTTGCAGAGACAAAGGATGGACGGTGCAGTTTAACTGGTTCCTACATCTCGTTCTTGGCATCAAACAAGGAGAGAAACACTCTGCTTAATATTCGGTGCTAGAGCCAAAAGCAATCTTGTGTTCGAAAGCTTTGAAATCAGCACGTGTCAGTCATCAGACTTAGCTTTAAAATGCAATAGGACACTCTGAACGCTGGCCCTTCAGAAATACAGTTTTTTCCCCAGTTGAACTCTTCACCAGAGGAAAAAAACGTTGGCATTAATGATGGTTTGGTTAATATTCAGCGAGAGACTTCTTTGCTATTTTCCCCTCTCAGACACCATAATGTTGATGAGCACTCTAAGTTTAAATAGACTGATGGCTTGTTTACTACACCTGATCTTGTATTGAGTGTCTCTGGAGGTTCTTTCGTAGAATAATTGGTGATACCTGCTGTCACTATATGTGTTTACTATACGTTCTGGCTTTCGTGTGGCCTTTAAGAACAGGAAAGGGTGTAAGCATTGCTAAGCTCCGCTGCATCTCTCTGTGCCCACAGACATTGGTGATGTGCTGGAAGCAAGCACGGTAGCCTTTTGAGCGCCTTTATCAATTAGTCTCTCTGTGTGCAGCTGAGATGCACAGATGCTGAAAGCAATCTCTGAGCCTGAGCCTTGACCCTCCCCTGCTGGTGTGGCTCCAGGGTTATGGATATGAAAAATGGAGGTAAGACCTTTTCCCAAGAGTGAATAACCTAATACAGTCGCTGTCATTGTCTCTGGCACAGAAACAGGAAGTGACTAAATGGACCCTTTGATGCACATTGATCGTGTTTCTTACCCCACCTCCCTTCTTCCTGCCTCGCCACCTCCTGCACACATTCTTGGACTTGTGAAATCTTCAAGGACAGTTTTTCCCAACAATTCAAAATGACTTGAAAGGCTTATGAGAATTATAGGTACTTATTTGTGGAGCTGCTCCATGGAGTTTTTAAAAAGTATCTTATTATAAGATGGGTTCCAGAAAATATTATTAGCTAAATGCTTTAATATTATTACATTTTCAATCTGAACAGTTTTTTATCTTTTAATGGAAGAAGATACCTTCTGTCAAATGTATTCTTGCATAGTCATTTTTTTTAATTAGAGACATCCTGAGGTTCCTACAGACAATTGAACCATTTTCCTTTATTTTCTCATTTCTTAAATGTTATGTTATTTGTTATTAGTGTTGATCTACTATAGAGACAGAGTAGTAAATATTTAATCATATAGTTTTACCCATCATTAATTCCACAGAAAGAACTGTGTTATTGGTGTTCAGATTTAAATATAATCAGATACAATTTTTATGATTTTTTAATTTTTCAAAATAGACTCTTAGATGGAGCCCAACCTTTCTTTTGTGTCTGCAGAAGCCAAGTATCACCTGATTCTGCTTCAATAAGAATCATCCGGGACACTTTAAAAATGCCCTTACCTTTTTTGTTTGTTTGTTTGTTTGTTTTGGTTTTCAAGACAGGGTTTCTCTGTAGCTTTGGAGCCTGTCCTGGAACTAGCTCTTCTAGAACAGGCTGGCCTCGAACTCAAAGAGATCCACTTGCCTCTGCCTCCTGAGTGCTGGGATTAAAGGCATGCGGCACCACTGCCCGGTGCCCTTGCATTTTTAAATCAGCCCACTTTCAGTAGATTATAATTTCATTAGTGTGAAATGATCTGGACATAGTTTCTAAGTACTCCAGTTGAATCTAATATACATGCAGGGAAGAAGCCACATGTGGGCCATGAAAATCTAGGTATCCCTCCTTGCTTACTGGACCTTCCGTGGCTCATAGAGAGCTACAAAAATAGTCCTCATTCCTAGCAACTAACCCTTTTAAAACAATGCTGTCTCCTCTACAAAGGGCCAGGCCTCATGCTGCAATTGTATCCTTCCTATGAATGGAGATTAGATGTTTTACAGCACTTCCTTACACGGTTTGCTAATGTATTAGATGTTTTACAGCGCTTCCTTACACGGTTTGCTAATGTATTAGATGTTTTACGGCACTTCCTTACCACAGTTTGCTAATGGAAGTGGAGGAAGAGCCATGCAGTCCACCTTCAACTGGAAGCCGTTCCTAAGCTTCCAAAGAAGAGCCATGCAGACTTTGCACAGACTTTGCCTTTCATTTGAATTGCTGAAATGATCATCTCGATGATAAAACAATTACAAAGTATATCTGTATTTAGTTTTTGACACACATGCATACAAATTAGTTCTTTAAATGAGCCAGCTTCTTCATAAAGCTGAAATACACGACGCCACGTACTGGGTTTCATTCTTCCGCTTTCCAAAGAAGGTCGACTTGCAGACAAGCAAAATTCACATGTTTGCTTCCTTTACATAGTTCTTGCAAATGATCTGTTTCTACACCTTTGAAAATAGACCTGGGGCCCTCCTTCTGCTGGGTAAATAACTGATGTCTCTATCTTCAGTGCTCAGTGAAAACACATATCACAGGTCAGATGGGTCAGAAAAGGCCAGAAAGACATTATGGATAAAATATATCAACTAGAAAAAAAGAAAAAAAAAACCTCTTGATTTGCAAACAAATTAAGTATAGTAAGTATATTGTTGTTTTATTTTTATTAGTTCTTTGAGAATAGTGTACAATGAGTTTTGGCCGTATTCAGCCAATCCCCTGTCTTCTCCCAGATTCACCCACTTCCCTACCTACCAAACTTGTGTCTTTTTTTTTCTCTCCCGGCCATGGCAGCACTCCTAAAGAGAGCAAACTCTTTCTCTCCCAGCACCTCTCAATTGCCTGTAGTTCCTGACTAGGGGCTTATCCAGCTCCCCTCTCCAGCTTCCTCTCCCAGCACCTCTCAATTGCCAATGGTTCCTGGCGAGGGGCGGGACTTCGTAGCCAGCTCCCCTCTCCGTGCTTTCATGGGGCTTGTCCTAACTGCTTCAAGTTCACGCGTGCAGCCGGCCGGTGTGTCCAGAGGACGTTGTTTTCCTGCATTCGTTTACCACCTCTGTCTCTTACAGTCTCTCCGGTCCCTCTTCGTATGATCACTGAGCCTGAAGGAGATGGTAGGGTATAGATGGTCCATTCAAGGCTGAATATTCTGCAGCCTCTTGTTCTCCACTCCACGCCATTTGTGAGTCTCAGTGGTAACCATCATCGACTGCAAACAGATACCTTCTGACATGGGTTGAAAGGTATACTGATCTGTGGGTATGGCAACAAGTCATTAAGGGTCAGCCATGGGAGTTCCGTAGCATGATTTGGAAGCTGTTAGTCCTATATCAATGGTAATTGATTATATTTTTATATAAATAAGAAAATACATTTCTGAAATTACAATTATTGTCTTTTGTAGGGTAGATTCTGTTTTCCATAACAGTTATGGAAAGTTGTGTTTTCCATTGGCAGTTATGTTTAACAGTATGAAAAAAATAAAATAAGCTAGAATTTCTTAAAGATTCTGTTGGCTGATTTCCAATTTTATCCAACCTAATAATTCTGGTGAACACATTCAGTTCTACTCTTGGTGATTCTTCACATGTTTTCAAAGGCTCATTTCAGGACAGATGCCAGGGAATTCTACAGCACTTGCGTGGCTAGCCCTATCTGGCAGCTAAGATGGTCTCTTGTATTTTAATTACAAGTGTTAATTTAAATAAAAAAAATGTTTAAACTTCCAAATGGTTCTGAAACTCAAATTCTTTAGTTTAAAAATTCATTGTTGAGTGCTCACTGCATACAAGACACCACATGGTGTGCTGGGGAATTGGGTGTGTAACAAAATGGGCTAAATCCCAGTTCTTACGGTGTTCATCATATGCTGGTGATGCAGGTGTGTGTGTGTGTGTGTGTGTGTGTGAGAGAGAGAGAGAGAGAGAGAGAGAGAGAGAGAGAAAGATTTAAGCATGTGTATGGGTTCCTGTGTATGTATGCTTGTGTGTGATATGTGTGTGTATGTGTGTGTATGTATGTATGTATGTATGTATGTATATAATCAAGTTAAGATGAGGTCCAATGACTGGTTTCCTTAAATGAGGAGAAGTGACATACACGGCAAGCACAAGGATGGAGCTTCTGAAGGCCAAAAAACACATGGAGGTAACAGAAGCTGGAGAAGACAGAGAAGAATCCTCCCTTAGACCCTTTCAAGGATGCATGGCCCTGCCAACATTGTGATTTTTTACCTCTGGCCTCCAGAACTGTGGTAGGATCGGATTCTGTCATACTTGGTTCTGATATCCCTAGGGTACTGAAACCAAGTGGATAGCTCAGCATTCCATGGAATTGTATTGGGAGGGGAGGGGATAGCAGTCGCAGAATTTACACAATTACTTGATTGATGTTTTCTGCTGCTATCATAAAGATTTAAACATATATCAAACATGACAATGGTAGTAATGATGAGAAACTCTAATCATTCATTGGGTAAAAAATAAACACTTCTCCTGAAAATATTGAATTTCCAGAAGAATAAAATGCGTGTGTCCAGTGACCATGACAGGAAACCCAATACATTATTTATTAAACATGTACAATCAAAGTAAGTCCATCTTCCCTGTCAGCAAAGATTGGCTACTGCCCAAAGCCGGTGCTGACTTGAGGGGAAAGGTGCTCTGTCACACACCAAAAGCTTTGCGAGCTGGCAAATCAACATATGACATTCTGACAAATTTTATCAAACTTAATGTATCTATTCTCCGCTTCAGCCAGTCTACATCCAAGATCTGCCAGTCAGAAAGGATGAAATGTGAGAAGAATAACGGTCAGAAATAGTTATCAGGAGCTGGGGAAACGGCTCAGCAGATGAAGTAGATGCTATGTACTCGAAGGACCTCAGTCCAGTTCCCCAGCACTCAAATAATGGTTGGGCATGGTGATAGGTGTGTCTAGAACCCCAGTGCTGAGGAGCAGAAGGACAGAGAGAGCTCAGCAGCTAGTTAGCCAGTCTAGAATCTGCAAAGTCCAGGGAGCAAAAGGCCTGGTCTCAAAAAACTAAACTGGAGGGCAGTGAAGGAAGGTACTGATCTAGTCTACACATGAGCATACACGTGCACACACAGAGATAAGCAAAATGATATAATAATAATTAACTACCTTCATTTTAACTAAAATTTGCAAACACCCTTAAAGTCTCTCTACAGGAGATCAATTAGCTAAGTGCTGCTGAATTATGAGCTGGGATGTAGCTCAACTGATAGTGTCTGCCTAGTGTGCACACAGGCATGAATTCTGCCCCAGCACTAAATAAACCAGACACAACTGTGCACACCTATACTTCCAACGCGAATGTTAAAGGCAGGAGGGCCAGACACTCAAGGTCATTCTCAGCTACTTCTGGAGTTTGAGGCCAGCCTGTGCTAGATACTTTGTCTCAAAAATAAATGAATTAAAAATGCAAATGATAGTGTGTGAATACATAACAAATTTGGGAGGATATATACACACAATACAAATACTGTTGTTTGGGAGGATATATACACACAACAACAAATACTGTTGTTTGAGCTTGTGATCCTCCTGCCTCAGCCTCCCAAGTGGCTGGGAGTTATAGCTTATACTATTAGTGGTGATTTTAGTTTTCCATGCATTCACTTTTTCATTTGGATATTGTGGAAATTGAGTTTCTTAGCCAGGAGAAAGCATTAATAATTTTTATTTTGAAAAAAAAAGATGTATTCTGCATGACAAACATCTTTTAACTTAGATCATGCCTCACTAAAAGCTCAGAAAAATGGTTCTCAAAAAAACAAACAAACCCTAAATTTGAAGTCTATATTATCAAGCAGTGGCATTAAAGATATTATTAGAAATTTGGGGCATGAAAATGGCCATGTTCAAGTCTTTTTCCTTATCTGGTGACCTCTTATCACCAAGACTGGCCTTGGTTTGTCTCCAACGGTAGCAGTGCTACCAACTCAGTCGGGAACGTCCCTCCGGCTGCAGCCCCTCAGCTCTGCACACCTGTGCAGCCTGCAGCCCCTCAGCTCTGCACACCTGTGCAGTCGGGAACGTCCTGCCACTGCAGCCCCTCAGCTCTGCACACCTGTGCAGTCGGAAACGTCCTGCCACTGCAGCCCCTCAGCTCTGCACACCTGTGCAGCCTGCAGCCCCTCAGTTCTGCACACCTGTGCAGTCAGGAACGTCCTGCCGGCTGCAGCCCCTCAGCTCTGCACACCTCTGCAGCCTGCAGCCCCTCAGCTCTGCACACCTGTGCAATCAGGAACGTCCTGCCGCTGCAGCCCCTCAGCCCTGCACACCTGTGCAGTCGGGAACGTCCTGCCGGCTGCAGCCCCTCAGCGCTGCACACCTGTGCAGTCAGGACCGTCCTGCCGCTGCAGCCCCTCAGCCCTGCACACCTGTGCAGTCGGGAACGTCCTGCCGGCTGCAGCCCCTCAGCGCTGCACACCTGTGCAGTCGGGACCGTCCTGCCGCTGCAGCCCCTCAGCCCTGCACACCTGTGCAGTCGGGAACGTCCTGCCAGCTGCAGCCCCTCAGCTCTGTACACCTGTGCAGTTGGGAACGTCCTGCCGCTGCAGCCCCTCAGCCCTGCACACCTGCGCAGCCTGCAGCCATGCGGAGCTCTTCCCTCACATCTGAGGTCCCCCTAGGAGGTGCAAACAGCCTCATTTTCACTTCTTATGAATGTCAGATTCTTTTCTAAGCATTTGCTCATTAACACAAGTGAGTAAATCTCCCTGCCTGCTGCTTTGGTAAGAATTACCCCTTCAGTGTGGATCTGAGTCAGGCAGTAGGAAGACGTCCTGGAGGAATGCAAGGTCCCTTGGCAGAACAGAGCAGTACTGCTATGTGCCTCACATCAGAGGTAGTATCCCACCAATCAAACCCAGAATCTTCTGGTCATACTTTAAAATTAAAGTAGGTTCCTATTGTCTGGCAGAATGCCACCCACCATTTCCAGGCATTGCTAAGGTTAATAGCTGAACAGTGCTTTCTGCAACGAGATGTGTTTGGTGGTCAAGTCTACACAGTACATGCATGCACATGCACACGCACACGCACACGCACACACACACACACACACACACACACTATGCCTTTCCTTTGCATCATCACTGAGCACTTGTTCTGTAAAACCCCCAGTCTGTGGCTACTAAGGGCTTTCCCTGGGGAAGTCTCAAAGCCACACAAGCCCCAAGTCCTTGACCCTCCACCCCCACCCTGGCTCTGCTCAATTCACAGTTTCTCAGTTCTAGAAACTAGAGAAAACAGTCTCTTGTTTTTAAAGTAAGTCCTGCTTCAGGCACTATTTGCTCAATGTGAGTTTGTTAGAGGCCAGCTGCAGCCACTAACCAGGAGGGAGCCATGTGCGGAAGGTATGCTGGGTTCCCATCGTCAGTGACCCTTCAGACTGAGAAACCTGCCTAAACATACTAATAAATATAGACACAGCTAAATGCCCTCAAGTGTCCCAGTGCCTGTGATGGCAATCCCCCTTGTCTATAAAATCTCATTCCTTGATTTTAGAGCTGGATCACGCGCCCAGTAAGCTCACAGGTGACGGTACTAGTGATGACAACACACGGAGGGCCATGTTCTATAAAGTGATCACCCACTCTTTGCCATTCTCTCTTCTGTCTTCTGGTTTTGTCAGATACAAGTTCATGGGCAAGCATGAGACCAAATGTAAGCTAGCAAGAAACATGGAAGGACACCGGGTCCCCACACTCAAAGCACAGCTCTCGATAACCCTCAACTAGAAAGAGGCAAAGACAATCCGAGCAGCACGCAGACACCTGGAACACTTGAAGAACTGTTGGCTATGTTTTTGATTTTGTCTTCATTTTGATTTTGGTCAACACCACCGCAGACCCCTCAGAGGCAGCTAGAACAGGCCATGAGATAATTTAAGAGGTTGTACTGAAAGGATGGAGTACAAAGTCACAGGAATATTGAGACCAAAACCTGTATGGAAATGACTCCTGAGACCAACACTACTCCTCAGAGGACCTGCATTCGTTGCCTACTGTGTATGAAACTCAGCTGTGCTAGAAGATGCTGAGAAGCAAACACAAGGTAGGCACCATCTGGTGGGGTACCAGATGCGTTCACCCCTGGCAAAAGGGGGAAACCTGTGACAAATCTGTGTTCTGCTGTAGCAGGGAACAGGGATACACAGGCAGGCCTCTGACTAGGAAGACCAGATAGACTGCGGCATGGTACAATAGAGGTTTAAATAAAAAGCCAAGAAAATGCGACTGTGGCAAGAGTTCATTCTGACTAAGGGCCCAGGAAAGGTTTTATAGGGAAGGTGACATTTGGATTAGCTCTTAAGATGTTAACGGAATCTCAATATCCGGGAGTGATGGCAGAGGTGACAAGACAGGAGGCTGAAGTACTAAGAAATACCAAGAGAGAGCCACGTCAGGAGCGCCAACTGAAGGGCAGAGGGGTGAGGCAAAGGGGAAGAAGGGAAAATTTAGGCCTTTTGTCTGGGCAGAGTAAATTTGATTTATTTGAGAGGTAATTGAAAAGCACGAATCATTTCAGACATTTTGGACATCCACACATATAGATAACGAAGATGCCCCCTCACCATGAATAAACATGGTCCTGCCTGAAGAAAAGGAAGGGAGGGAGGGAGGGAGGAAGGGAGGGAGGGAGGGAAGGGGGAGAGAGAGAGACAGACAGACAGAGAGAGAGAGAGAGAGAGAGAGAGAGAG